ACCTGATTTAGGAGTATCCCTTCACCTGATTTAGGAGTATCCCTTCACCTGATTTAGGAGCATCCCTTAACCTCATTTAGTAGTATCCCTTACCTCAACCGATCCACACTTGATCCTGAGATGAGTCGTACTTTCGAGCTCGAATTGCGCAATAATAGTTTCAGTGTCATAGCAATGGAAATAACGCACACTTTTTTTATGGTGGTTTTAATTGCGTCACACTGTCGTGCCAAAAGCAAACTCTATGTGTCCCATTATCGAAGTGTAGGGAGAGGATGGGTTGAGCAATATTTAATATTTTGTGTAGTTAATTGTTAATTCTAAATTGGAATATGACAAAAACTTAATAAGATAATCACTTTGATTTTCTAATATTCAAATTCATGATGATATTTTATTAAAAAAATGAAAAATATAATCTGGATCCAATGGGGTTCGAACCCACTTTCGAAAATTGTGTGAAACAAGATTTAAAAAATGATTCTACTTTGCCATACCCCCGAGACATCCGCAGAGCTGAGGCGGCGTATGGACTTGGGACCTGACGGCGATTAAATCCTTCTGCCCTTGGGTGTACGAATTACCAAAGAAAATGTTCTATCCAAAGCATCAGGGGAGAGACCAGACGGCCCCCAGACGATATCGGCTAGTCCCTTGCATCTCTGCCACTCATGGAATCGGTTGAAAATATATTGTTAAAAAGTCTAGTCTATCTGGTGCATTGTTTTCACGGCTATTGTTATGCTGATTTACCTGAAACCGTGGTCCAGTGGGAAAAACGTGGGCTTCAATAACACTGAGTCAAGTCCGGTTTAGAGAAATTAGTACCTGGATGGGTGACCTGAAACTTAGGCCTACTTAGTTTTTTGCAAAAATTTTTTCCTGCATTTTTCAATCGCTTACAAAAAAAATTCGATTTAGTTGGGAACTGGGCGAAAATTAAAAACTACTACCATCCAATCCCTGCCCAGCTCGTGTGTATCTTGATAGAAGGTTTTCTAAAACACAACAAAAAGTGTCGTCCTTTTTTTCAAATGACCATATTTAAAAGTATCCTTTTATCGTTTTCTTTCTCTTGTAAAATACGTCCAATAGCGTACATTCAACTCAAAAAGTACGGTGGTTTTTTTCAATAGAATTCAATCTAAACCATATAATACAGTCCGTGAATAGTTGAATTAACTGAATCCACTTCTGTTTTTTGCCTAGATAGTCATTATTTTGAGAAAAGATCCAAAAACCGTGTTTTTGAGACATAATTTGTATGGGCTTACATGAGGGGGCGTTAGCTTGAAATCGTAGCTGACCAAATGTTAACAGATTTTTTCTGATGATCAGCGCGCGAGATTTTCAATAATCACCTGTGTATTAATAGGATCCATATTACCAAACTTTAAATTTATTTACTTATTTATAGAAACTTCCATCTAGTGAATTAGCAAAAATATAAAGGAAAAATAGGGCCTGACGAAAGAACTATTTGAAAGGTAGCTGAAGATAACAAATATTTACGGAGCAATGAAGAATTCCTGCGCTCAGTTGAAATCACGAGGTGGAGGAAGAATTTTAGACAACTGCATTAATCGGAAACTATTCAGCACCGCTGTCAATCTAAGACCGGCTTACGTAGTCATAATTGAGTCAAATTATCCTCAAATACTTCAATTATTCGGACTTTGAAATATTGGGGCGTTTTCATCCAAGTGCCCCTTTAATTAGTAAACTGTCAAAGGACTTGGCAGATAAATTGCATATCACCTCTTGGTGAGTCAGTACACTGTCATAAAAGGATAAAACTTCTATAAATTACGTTAATCCTTCGAGTAAAATGGACAAGCAACTGTTGAAACATAGTGTGATGCACAATTTTATTTATTTTGAGCGTTCGTATGCTTGCTTGTTACATGTTCTAAAAATACTGGCATGAATATCGTGATATCTGCTTCTTTGGGCTTCTTTTAGATGTGTATAATGACCATACAACATCAATGTTAATGAATACACAACACATATATGATCACTGGTCGTACTAGGAATGCCAATAGTCTTAATTTACGCGCAAATCGTTTTCGTACATGTCTATTTAGGAATTCATATTTTAATTGTGTTGTTCCACCATGGAACAACATACTAGACATACGTAAAATCAAAGTTCTCTACAATTTCAAAGAACGTCTGTTTGCATTTTTCATTGACAAAATTCACACTTGTTTTGATACTACTAGGATTCAAACTTGGAAAATAGTATGCCCTTATGCCTTTTTTTGGCTGATGATATATCAACATGTATTATAATACACCAATTATTTTGTTTATGGGCCAATTTTAAAAAAATTCGTACCCGCGACTTAGTACCCGCCACACGCGACTTGTTACCCGCCACACGCGACTTAGTACCCGCCACACGCGACTTGTTACCCGCCACACGCGACACGCGACCAGTAGAAGTCAAACTCTTATTATTATAACGTTAAAGAAAACCGATTAATTAAGAAATATAAAATTTGCCAAGACAAGCCCCTCATCCCCCTCGTTTAGTTTTCTGGATTTAATCGAGCCAGACATCGCTGTAGGAAACCAACATTCCCTTTTCAACTGAATTTTATTTCAGTATTTTTCACATTACATTAGTTGTTTTTTCTAATCTAACATKAATTTTTACCCACTTTAATTAAATGCTATCACGGCAATGGTTAAGCTAATTAACATATAAGTTGTTGATGCACTAGCTGCACACAGGCTACTCAACCAGTGGGGGCTAAATAACCTGAAAAAAGTGAATAAAATGAAATRAATCATGCTTTCTGATATGATTATACCGGCCGTAAAAACTTTATCATTTTTGTGTCTAGCGCATATTAATTATAAACAGTAGACACTATGCCATCGAGTTTACCCGGATAAACTTCATATCCTATTTAAATAGCGAAAAATATAGTTAAATGACATACGATATAACTGGCATAAAGTCCATCCCGGTGTAAGGGATGTAAAACTTCGGAATTCGCAATATCTAGAAAGAATTTATCGCAAAACACGTCCACTGAATAGCCCACCTCCGAGATATGCTTCGCTCGTCACGCACAAAGGTTTCAGTATGAGGCTATACGCGCTAAATGCTCARTCATTCGTGACAGGCGGTAAGAATTAATCTAATTTAGCACGTAGCCTCATACTGAAACCTTTGTGCGTGACAAGCGAAGCATATCTCGCCCGGGAGATTCAACTCTTAGTTTTAGTCTGTGGTAGGGTATGTAAAATCAAAAATTTAGGTTTGGGATAGGGTTTTGAGGTCCTGGCGGCACACCCCTACCCAAGTTGGGCCCCCCCCCCCCCCCTCCCGGGATATCTCGAAAGTGGGCTATAGGCGAGTTCGTGCTACACGAAGCATGTCAACAATGTTGCTTCATGAATGATTTTTACGGAACAGATGCGATGTGAAACTGACTCAGATTTTTACCGTGACAAATTGATATTTGAGCGGCCCTTTAAAGGGATAACTGAGCTCCGTAAGCAGAATATTAAGCCCTGGATAACTGCAAGTGAATATTTTACATATACATGATTCAATAATTTTGCTGTGTATCTATCAGCAGTGGACAAACGTATTCCCTGCAATCAGAGCCTATTTTTCTTTTGTTTTGGTGGAGTGAGAAAAAAAAAATCTGCCGATGTAGGACGTTGTTGCGCCTGCGTGGCGTAACTTAGTTACGCTGTCATGATTTTGACAGCTGCTCTTGTCAAACAACGTTTTGCACAACGTTGTGGTACATTTGCTCATGCGCACTACATGTACCCGGTTAAAACCCGGGTTTAAAACTGGTTATGTTCGTCCACGATCGTGGACGGCAGTGTATCAGGGGAAACGCTCTACATCAGCAGAGTCTCCCTCCTCCCCGCCTAAAAGAAGGAAGAGAAAGAGGAGAGAATCTGCTAGCAGGGAAATACATGTACTCATCGAGTGCTTATTTTTTAAATATTTTGTTGCTGGTCGCATCCTCGGGCACCCTGTGCTGGTCGATGCTGGTGGCGTTGTTTCTGGGCCATGATCAAGTGGCAGGTCCAGGATTTTTAAAAGGGGTGTGACTTATAAAAATGAGAAAATTTAAAAATATGGCGTCTCAAATTAAAGTAAATTAAAATAGCTTAAAGTAAAACATAAGTGAAGGTTCATCTAGAAAAACAAAAATTTCAAAAAAAGATTAAAATTCAACAGATATTTTGGATCTTTACCTTATTCGCGGCACCCAATGAGGTCAACCCTCAAGCTCGATGAACCGTCCCGGTATTTAGGACTGGGTTCGAGTGGCTGAAACCTGAAGTAGCGCGCCTTTATGACTGTAGGAAGATCAACTTCGTTGACGTCACTTCCTTTTACTGGAGGGGGCCTGTTTGAATAGAACGGCTGCAAAACGAAAGAAGAGGTCAGGATATTTCACTAGTTACGAACGCAAGCCAACGAGAAGTCAAATGTTAGCCCACGTACACTCGAAAACAATGTCTGATAAGGGAATTATATTGACACGGTGGGATTTGTCAGCCTAACAACTTCAGGCAACACGAATTTCTTCATGTAAATCGACCGTATGGCTTGCTTAGGATTGTAAATGGCAGCTAAAACGTGACGTAAGCATGTATAGTAAGCGCGCTACAGTTGTAGGGGAAATTTAAATTAAATTAAATATGGTAAAATGTTGACGTCATAATTTATTTAATGCAAAGGCATAATTCAATTGTTGTCTTACTCTGCAGGGGGATGGTGAGCCATTTGAGATACAGTCCCAAGTGTTTCCATCGTTGCTGTAGAATAATTTGATCTGGTTCGTTGTGTCGGGTTTGGTGGGATCCCCAGCGAACAGCACCCTAGAAATACTAGCCGCTTCGCCTAAAGAAACACAAACAAAGTTTAACCATAACCATGAAGCCCAAGGTTTATATCTCTGTATCCTAGAACATAAACAGCATAGTACTCTCTCGTCTTTGTGTGATCCCTCTTTGAAACATGCAGGAGACCATATATAGGGCACAAATTTATATTAAAAATATATAGGAGAAAGAGAAACTTTGTGCCCTAATGAAACACAGTGTAAAGCTAACTCCAGAGTAATATAGAAGGATTTGGTAGTGTTCTGGTAGTGTAGTTTGTTAACGCATTGGACTAGAATGCCGAGGTCGGGGCGGAGGTCGTGCGTGGGTTCGAATCGATATCCCATCTAGGGCACAAATGTTCTCTTTTAACTATATATNCCCGGGATATCTCGAAAGTGGGCTATAGGCGAGTTCGTGCTACACGAAGCATGTCAACAATGTTGCTTCATGAATGATTTTTACGGAACAGATGCGATGTGAAACTGACTCAGATTTTTACCGTGACAAATTGATATTTGAGCGGCCCTTTAAAGGGATAACTGAGCTCCGTAAGCAGAATATTAAGCCCTGGATAACTGCAAGTGAATATTTTACATATACATGATTCAATAATTTTGCTGTGTATCTATCAGCAGTGGACAAACGTATTCCCTGCAATCAGAGCCTATTTTTCTTTTGTTTTGGTGGAGTGAGAAAAAAAAATCTGCCGATGTAGGACGTTATACTTGTTGCGCCTGCGTGGCGTAACTTAGTTACGCTGTCATGATTTTGACAGCTGCTCTTGTCAAACAACGTTTTGCACCACGTTGTGGTACATTTGCTCACGCGCACTACATGTACCCGGTTAAAACCCGGGTTTAAAACTGGTTATTTTCGTCCACGATCGTGGACGGCAGTGTATCAGGGGAAACGCTCTACATCAGCAGAGTCTCCCTCCTCCCCGCCTAAAAGAAGGAAGAGAAAGAGGAGAGAATCTGCTAGCAGGGAAATACATGTACTCATCGAGTGCTTATTTTTTAAATATTTTGTTGCTGGTCGCATCCTCGGGCACCCTGTGCTGGTCGATGCTGGTGGCGTTGTTTCTGGGCCATGATCAAGTGGCAGGTCCAGGATTTTTAAAAGGGGTGTGACTTATAAAAATGGGAAAATTTAAAAATATGGCGTCTCAAATTAAAGTAAATTAAAATAGCTTCAAGTAAAACATAAGTGAAGGTTCATCTAGAAAAAAAAAATTTCAAAAAAAGATTAAAATTCAACAGATATTTTGGATCTTTACCTTATTCGCGGCACCCAATGAGGTCAACCCTCAAGCTCGATGAACCGTCCCGGTATTTAGGACTGGGTTCGAGTGGCTGAAACCTGAAGTAGCGCGCCTTTATGACTGTAGGAAGATCAACTTCGTTGACGTCACTTCCTTTTACTGGAGGGGGCCTGTTTGAATAGAACGGCTGCAAAACGAAAGAAGAGGTCAGGATATTTCACTAGTTACGAACGCAAGCCAACGAGAAGTCAAATGTTAGCCCACGTACACTCGAAAACAATGTCTGATAAGGGAATTATATTGACACGGTGGGATTTGTCAGCCTAACAACTTCAGGCAACACGAATTTCTTCATGTAAATCGACCGTATGGCTTGCTTAGGATTGTAAATGGCAGCTAAAACGTGACGTAAGCATGTATAGTAAGCGCGCTACAGTTGTAGGGGAAATTTAAATTAAATTAAATATGGTAAAATGTTGACGTCATAATTTATTTAATGCAAAGGCATAATTCAATTGTTGTCTTACTCTGCAGGGGGATGGTGAGCCATTTGAGATACAGTCCCAAGTGTTTCCATCGTTGCTGTAGAATAATTTGATCTGGTTCGTTGTGTCGGGTTTGGTGGGATCCCCAGCGAACAGCACCCTAGAAATACTAGCCGCTTCGCCTAAAGAAACACAAACAAAGTTTAACCATAACCATGAAGCCCAAGGTTTATATCTCTGTATCCTAGAACATAAACAGCATAGTACTCTCTCGTCTTTGTGTGATCCCTCTTTGAAACATGCAGGAGACCATATATAGGGCACAAATTTATATTAAAAATATATAGGAGAAAGAGAAACTTTGTGCCCTAATGAAACACAGTGTAAAGCTAACTCCAGAGTAATATAGAAGGATTTGGTAGTGTTCTGGTAGTGTAGTTTGTTAACGCATTGGACTAGAATGCCGAGGTCGGGGCGGAGGTCGTGCGTGGGTTCGAATCGATATCCCATCTAGGGCACAAATGTTCTCTTTTAACTATATATGCATATATATATATATATATCATGTATATATAGTTGAAAGAGAAAATAGGGCAAAATGTTCTCATATTCTTGCTGTACCAACAAATCACATACTAGTTCGACTGCTTGCCAACGTGGCTGTCCTGATGGGTGTAGTTGGTTAACACTGCATCGGACTAGAATYCTTTACTACCTGTTTAAGGCTTTGCTAATCGTTTTAGAGACACCCATGCCAGTGTCGAGCATTTCAACAGGTATTTGAGGGAAGCGGTGTATGCGCTGGTATATATACGTCCACCAAACTAAATCAATAAAATTGGGTCCCTATTTTAGACCATTGTTCTGAACTTGCAATTAAGCTGAAAATCGAACAAAGTTTGTTAGATAAGCCTAAACAGTTCTGTATGCAGAACCAACTCACCCAAATCAACGGTCAGCTTTTGATCATTGTCCAGGGACTTGGGTATCCATGGCTTGTTACACAGCGAAGGAAAACCAGCATTCCCAGATGTAGCACTGAACGTAGCACCTTTGAGCAGTGAACCACAACCTTCTGTAAAATATTGAAATAAATCGAGCTAGTAATTTCCACTTGAGGGTTGGGCTTATATATTATGATTCGTAAAATAACACCTTTTTGATAAYGCCCCCTTAGTGTTCACAATTGCAGAATATCATCCTTTTATATAAAATGAACCAATGAGAAGCAAKCTCTGGTATTCATGCTTGTAACCATCATAGATCATACGTCTTGGGATCTTGACTGGAGAGCACGAGTTTCTCATCCAATTACCAGTTCCCGGCGGCTTTTCGTTCGTTTTACTTATTTGCCTGGCTTTCTACCATATTTAATTATTATACATTTTACTCACTATCAAAATGTTTGCTTGTCACGTGACTTAGTCTCCTACGCAGCCGCTATTAGTTTCGTCACGCAACACTTACTCCCCTAGCGTGGTGTGACGACACTAATAGCGGCTGCGTAGGAGACTACACGTGACTCCTACGCAGGACAGGGACACCACAACAGYATACAACAGCCAATTACTTCGTGGGCCATGTAGTATTAGCACGGGTATTGAAAATGGTCGTCACCAGTTTCTTAAGTCGGTCTTTTACGCCCTCCTTATCCAGGGTTATATAGTTAAGACAGACGGGGCCTATGGCGGTTTTAAGTCCTTGTCCCGTCCGAGAAGTTTAAGACTATAAGTGCTGGTCCAGCCATAGCTTGAACCCCGACCTCCCGCACAACAGACCGACGCTCTTAYCAACTGAGCTATCTGGGTAGCAGTTATAATCAATCGGTATGACCGATCTTTATACACCTAATTGAAAAAACGTTGTCGGGTTCAAAAAAGGTTATATCATCAAAGCTAAGACCGAAGAGGAGCATGGGAAGACAAACAGTTATGCTAATTTCATGCGTATTGCAGTTTTCCCTTCCTGTGCACATTTTATGCATCATGGCTTTGGCTTGTTGTTAATCTAGGTCGACCGACTTTGCTCTACTGTGCATTTTTACATGTCTACATGCAAATATAATACACATTTCGAAGTACCCAAAATCCTTTTTGGTCTTAGCTTCGATGATATGACCTTCTCGAACCCGACTACGTTTTTTCAATTAGGTGTATATTCCAAAATTGATCGAGCTACGTATGACCAAGCTTTTGTTTGCTTTCCTGGTCTGACGATTGCWTGGATGTTCGTAATTTGTTTGTTCTTTCCGTTCGTTTTTATTTGCTTATACTTTGCATACGTTTGATTGTACATTTTGGTCCAAAAAAAAACTTCAACCTTATCTAATTCAGGAAACGGCTAACTCACAGATCGAATTGACGAAAAACGAATATCTAGAAACCAGCAGAAAACCCTCGAATCACATTGGCAACTAACAAACTCTTTTTAGTTGTGATGCCGATCAGTTCAGAAATATTAGAGCAATACCCAAGAGGTGAGAACCGAGTTTGCTGCCACTACGCCACCTTTGATTCGAATTTCCAAAAATTAAAAATCACATTTGTAAAGAAACAAACATGAGCGCGAGACAACGCCTATAACAGTATTACAAAGAAAAGGCTTTCATGCTATATGCAAGCTATTTCAATATAATCGGACATACCTCTGTTGAGATCCAGGCTGACTGCACTTGCAACAAAAAGAGCAAGCAAAACGAAGATCATCTTGACGCGGTTGTTTGCCGTTTGCTTTTCGGTATGATGAACTGTCTACATGCAGCTACACACTTCCACACTGTGTGACAAGGTTATGATATAAGCATATTTATACTTTCAAGAGCCCTTGTAATACGAAAAGTACAAGGTCACAATCAATGTCACCTTAATTTCGATATCCCGTGATTTGATTGGCTGAGAGCAGCTGTCTTTCGAAGAGCATCAATACGCGTGTGAAAAGTWTTTTCCTCGTCCTAAAAACAAATAATATTCAACGGGGGAGTGGGGATACTCGCATATATATATTTGCAATACGGGTATGTGCCGCTGGATAAGGTATGGTTTTTGGCCTTGCTACCTTACACAGGGTATACCGCCGGAAATTCTTTTAAACAGGATCTATAATTTTGACACAAGATCGTAAGTTTCATGTTTTTGTGTGTCTTGGATAGGATACTATTGTAGAAGAAACGTACTTTGACAACAAAGCGCCTCATTATTCGGTCCTAACAAAGTTTATCAGATCCTTGACGGCTTTGTTATTAAACTCCTATAATAACACTGGGTGAGATGCGTGCCTTTTATAGGGTATACAGGTATGGATTTGTCACTCTGAAGTATCTTGAATACTTGGTCAGGGTTTTATACCTGGCACATCCCTATCTAAAACATAACGGGGTCGAGTACCCCCATCACCCCCCGTGAATATCCAACTCTCTTTAGGATATTTTTTGAGACCAATATTTCACCGACTTCCTTCTGTCTCCCTAGCTTGAAAACATTCTTCATTGTTAGATAGTGCATATGGTATTTATCCCAGCTTTATTAGATTTAGTCTTTAATTACCATCACTTAATTCTTATCTAATCGTTCCTTTTGTCTTATTGCCTTCTTCGAGTGTCAGCTACTTTGAAATATTAAGCAAAATTTCTAAAATCGTCTATAATGATTGTGCTTTAATGATTGCTAGTTGAAAGGTGTGTAATATAACTTTCTTGAGGCCACTTTACAGCAATATATAAAGTACAAACTGACAAAGTGAGTAAAATACAACGCGTATGGAGTGCATACCACATATTATCCGTGAAAATCTTTGTAACAAATTGAACACATTTGCACACATTAGTAGGTTCAGTAGCTCAGTAGACCGTAGACCTACAAAACTTTACACTCATTGGTATAATGTTGTTAGTTAATTAATGACTGATATATGGTATGCATCCTAATATCATCAGAGCTATATTTATACGTTATATCTATTAACGCATTCTAGAATATTCTACATTAAATGGTAAATAACTATAGTGACTTGAAAATGTTTAACCGACTACCTACGAAGATATTGCAAATGCATGTGTGCTGTCACAGGTCGTGCAGGGTAAAATAGAAATAGAATGTTAGGCAAATAGTTAGGTAATTAGAAAAATAAAAAGGAAAGGCAGGTAAAAAAAGAGAATGTGGAATGAATGAGAAAATACTTTAGTGTATGATATTAGATCCAAAGTCTATGCATTGTTAATGAATGTGATCCATGATAGAGTGCAAACAATATAACCGTGAAACTTTAGTAATGCTAAATAGTGCAATTTTATGCAAATTCCATTGTTTTCTGTTGTTTAATTAGCAATATTTTGTACTATTTGATTAATTAGTGTTTCACGGATTAATAGTTTGCACTCTATCCAAATGCATGGACTTTGGATCTAATAAGCCTTTTCATAACTTAAGAATTGATTCCACTGCGCATGCGATTTTATCCCGAATTTCTCACCTTCTTTTGTCTAAACCTTCTTTTGTTCTTAATTAAACAAAAGAAGGTGAGAAATTCGGGATAAAATCGCATGCGCAGTGGAATCGATTCTTAAACTATGAAAAGGCTTATTAACATTGTAGTAATTTCTCATTCATTCCATTTCACTCTATTTCTTTTCTTTATTCTCCGGTTAGCATCCAGTGTTGGATCAAGGTATAAGCGAAAGCACGTGACCCCAGAAGAAGCATTTCATTGGACCATAAAGTCATGCATTATCAATGAGGTTGAGAGCTTTATTTGCAACAAGACTTTCAAAAGACATTATGAGGACAAAACAATGAAAAAAGGAGGTTTGGAAATGTGATCTAAATAAGCATGCATTTTTGGCATCTTATGCTTTGAATTTTCTCCAAGAATTATTAATAGTTTGAGAAGCAATATCAAGCACCTCGAAGTTGTTAAGCTCTTAAGAAATGAAGATTTTGGCTCCGCCTTAATTTTTCGACTTACTTTTCGGTGTTTGGATCGGAAATTGCTTAGATGAAGCTGACTCTTTCACTTGTTTGATATATTACATCGCATGTCTAGACAACTGAATGAGGCTAAAGTCACGTTTACAGGCAGATCTCATTAAACATCTAATTAGATTGATATTCATTTTCATCTATGTCACTTTTTCAGCTGTTCATTTACCACGACATTTACTACTACTATGTAGGTCTACGCCGTTGAGCCCCTCATTTGAAGCTACCATTAAGCTTTTCATATCGTTAATATATTCTTTCTCTCGTTCAGTTTGCATATCCTATAGAGAAACTTAGGTGTCAAGTGGTGGGGGTTTTGAAGCCCAGGGAAATAGTGGTGTTAAGAGATTAGTATTCATAGTGACTCTCTATATAAAGCATACTATGAGGCCTTAGTTTGTCTTGTTTACTTGTTTGAAGAAATCTGAAATTTGAAGAAAGCGGAAATCTACCGAGTTCTGATCTACTAGCAATATTTGACGCTTTTCTATTGATACCAAGGTAATATTTACAATAGCGTAAATGCACTTTTTCTATTTGACATTTATCCCAGTTTTCAAAATTTCGTTTCTGATAGGCCCCCCAGACTTCGCATCCATACGTTAAAATGGGAGCTATTATTGAATCGAATAATGTGTTCGCTTCTTCGGCTTTAATTTTTTTAAATCGACAAGCTGAGTTAACTTGAATAAAGTTAGTCGTTTTTCTCTTGTTTGATTCAAATGCGCATTAAAGTTACCGGTTGAACTTAATTTCACTCCTAAATATGTAAATTCGCTTACGACTTCAAGATTATTATCATTTAAAGTAAAAGAGGGCTAATTAATTCTTTTACACGTTTTCTTAGTAAAAATCATGATTTCAACTTTTTTTCATTTACTTTCATTTGCCATTTAGTACAAAATTCCGAAACAGTGTTGATGCAATTTTGTAGACCTTCTTTTGATTTTGATAATAAAACTAAATCATCTGCGTATAAGAGAGAAGTTAGTTTGGTACGATTTGGTAGAATTATATAGGATCTGATCTTGCAGTATTTGAATGAGTTGAATAGATAATTCATTCAAATAAAGATTAAATAGCAAAGGACTTACAATGCACCCTTGTCGGACACCTCGTGCATAATCAAACGTCTTCGTACGTTTTGTACCAAGTTTAATAAAGCATTTCGATTTAGAGTACAGATTTTTAGAGTGCAAGATCGTAAAAACGACCATTAATATTATAACTTAATAACCGTGCTAATAAACCTACATTCCAAACAGAATCAATAAAACAAGCATTCCTCTACTAACATATTTTACAAATCTATCAACGACTGTTCGGAGAGTAAAAATATGATCAGTTGTTCGGTTGCCAGGCATGAAACCAATTTGAGAGTTATGTAGGAGAGAATCTCGTTGAACATAATTCAATAGTCGTCGATTAAGAATAGCGGAGAAAAATTTACTTAGACAACTAGAAACGCATATACTTCGATAATTATTAGTGTCAGATACATCTTCACTTTTAAAGATTGGTGTTAAGTATCCAACACACCAAGTACAGGGCCGTAACCACCGTTACGGTTTCAACCGGACCAACTTTCGGGGAAAAAATATAAGAAAATTAAAAAAATATATATATATATATACATATAAACGAAAACCGGACCAAACAGAAATTTGTGGCTACGGTCCTCAAGTATCTGGAAAGGTCCCAGATTTAAGAATTAAGTTAAAAAGTTTGACGTATACGGAACTCATACTATCAATGCTGTTGCGAATCATTTCATTTTTATTTCCTATCTGAGGCGGCGGCTTTATTATTTTTCAGCAGCTTAACACAGGATCGCAGTATTTCTTCCTCAGTAATAGGAGAATTAAGGAGATCATTTACTCGAGAAGTATTCCGTTCCGGACTTTCTAAATTTTGTTCAATAATAGGCTGTTCTGCTGTTAAATGTGTTTTTTTGTGCGTAATTCTGTAAAATGGTCTATCCAGTGTTGCTCACTTATTGGAGGTATAGATTCTTCCTGAATTTCCTCATTAGCCGATTTCAATATTTTCAGAAAACTTGATGATTCCGAATTAAATCTCGATGAAAATTATGTTTTTTAATCTTAAGTAATTTTTTGAAACTCTTTAATTTATAATTATATAGCTGTCTCAAATAAGGATCAGACGGATTGGAATGCTTTTGATTTGAAAGACTTCTGATGGGTTCCTTTCTAGCTTTTTGCAATCATAATCAAACCATTTTTTGTTATTAACCTTTAGTGTTTTCTTTTTGTTGAATTGTTTAACTTGTTTTAATTTTAATGACATGGTTGAAGCTGTTGTAAAAATGGACTGTA